ATTTTTAATTGGGAATTTATATTTTTTGCTTTCATTTAGTTTCATTTGTAATAATTTAGTTTTTATAATATTTTTAATAATTATGACTATAAGGATTGTTTTAAGTTATTACAGTTTTACTTCATTGTTCGGTTTTAGTTAGACGAAGCCAGGATTAGGCCACAGTTCAATAAGGACTTTTAAGTACTGCTTTTATAAACACATCACTGGTGTGCATCTTCAGACAAAACAAAGGCACTGATGTATGTTAAGATCAAGCTTCTTTCAGCTGAAACCGCTCAGAATTATATTTTAGTCCTTGTCTGTGAAACCGGGGGTTAGTGCTTCAACTTAAGCTTAACTTTAATTGACACAGTTAATAGCCAAGGCAGCATTTGTATTTATCTAGTTTTTCATCTAATATTTTATTTCAGCTGTATCTCAGTAAACAGACATGTTTTTAATGGTCTTAAGTAAGGCTAATGAGCGTGTTGTGTTGATGCTCTCAGGGAGAACTCACCAGCGGCTCGTGGGAGGAGACCACGCAGGAGATCAGCTTCTCTGACTTCAGGTTCTCCATCACACATCACTGTCTGAAGCAGGAGTCCGCTGAGAACGAGAGCAGGGACGAGCCGGAGGAAGGTACGTGTGACCTCTGACCCGCTCGGATGACCTTTGACCTCTCCTGCGTGTGTTTGAGCGGTGTCTGTGCTTTCAGATGCGTGTCCGCTGGCCATGCAGGACCTGCTGTGCATGAACAACGACTTTCCCCCGCGAGCGCACTGCCTCGTCAGATGGTGAGGAGAGCGGCACAATAAATCCATGCATTCCTCTCGTGTTGCTCAGACAGACGCTAGCTTCTGAATGCAGTAGTGAATCAAGATGCAGTAAATACACTTTTTAGTCAGTTCAGTCAAAACTGTGTTGAAACTGGGACCCAGATCCTAAAATGAAATCTAGTAGCAGTACTGTAATGGAAGCATACGTGTTCTGTCGCAGGTTCGGTGTGCGTGAGTTCGTGGTGATTTCTCCGGGAGCCAACTGTGAAGCTGTGGTCAGCGAGTCCAAGTGTAACCTGCTGCTGAGCTCCGTGTCCATCGCTCTGGCCAACACGGGCTGGTGAGTGACCGACACACACACACACACACACTCACGCACACACTCTCACACACACACACTCACACACACACACTCACTCACTCATCAAACACACACACACACACACACTCATCGCACGCACACACACGTGCATTCACACACACACTCTCACACACACACACACACACACACACACACACACGCACACTCACTCATCACACGCACACGCACTCTCTCTCTCACACGCACTTGCACACGCACTCACACACACGCACTCTCTCTCTCTCACACACACACACACTAACACACACACGCACGCTCTCTCTCTCTCACACGCACTTGCACACGCACTCACACACATGCACTCTCTCTCTCACACACACACACACACTAACACACACACGCACGCTCTCTCTCTCACACACACACACACACACACTAACACACACACGCACGCTCTCTCTCTCTCACACACACACACACACACTAACACACACACGCACTCACACACGCACGCTCTCTCTCACACACACACACTAACACACACGCACTCTCTCTCACACACACACACTAACACTCTCACACACACACACGCACTCATCACACACACGCTCTCTCTCTCTCTCACACACACACTCACTCACGCACACACACACACGCGCACTCATCTCACACACACACACACACTCATCACACACACGCACTCATTACACACGCACTCGCTCTCTCACTCACTCACACTAACACGCACACACGCACTTGCACATGCACTCGCACACACACGCACTTGCGCACGCACTCGCACACACACGCACTTGCGCACGCACTCACACACACACGCTCTCTCACACACACGCACTCATCACACACGCTCTCTCTCTCTCACACATATTCACTCACGCACGTGCGTGCGCTCACACACTCACACGCACTCTCACACACTCACACGCACTCTCACACACTCACACGCACTCTCACACACTCACACACACTCATCACACACACACACGCACACACTCATCACACACACACGCGCGCACACTCATCACACACACGCACGCACTCATCACACACACACACGCACTCTCTCTCTCACTCGATCACACTAACACTCACACACACGCACGCACTTGCACACGCACTCACACACATGCACTCTCTCTCTCACACACACACTAACACTCGCACGCACGCACTCACACACACACACTCATCACACACACTCACGCGCGCACACACACACACACACACACTCACGCGCACTCACACACATACGCGCACTCACACACACTCGCTCTCTCACGCACGCACGCATGCTCACACACGCGCATACACACACACACACACACACACACACAGGTTTGTTTTTGTGAAAAGTGGGGACTCTCCATAGGCGTAATGGTTTTTATACTGTACAGACCGTATCTTCTATTGCCCTCCACCAACCCTACCCCTAAACCTACCCCTCACAGGAGACTTTCTGCTATTTCAGATTTTCAAAAAAACTCATTCTGAATTATTCATAAGCCTTTTGAATTACGGGGACACTGAAAATGGCCTCATCAATCACCTTCTCGTTGTAATACCTATGTCATACCCATGTTATTATACAAATTTGTGTCTTCATAAACCAGATAAACACGAACATGCACTCTCTCTCTCACACACCCACACACACACACACAGGCTTCTGAAGATCATGTGACACTGAAGACTGGAGGAATGATGCTGAAAATACAGCTGCGCATCACAGAAATACATTACAGCTTAACACATATTCACACAGAAAACAGCTGGTTTACATTGCAATAATATTCCACTGTTTTACTGTGTTTTGATCAAATAAATGCAGAGATCAACAAATGTTAAATCAGTAAAGATATGAATTCTGATCCACATGACAGCGAACTGACAGTGACAGCAGCAGCATAAATTAAGATGTAAAGCAACGATAATATTTGAATAATAATGAACAAAATGTTTTCAAGCTGCATTGCATGCTGGGAATTTGTGCAATATCGTTCCATGCAAAATTGTTTGTTCAGATGACTCAATTTGAAAAGAATATGTTGTGAACAAATACTTGAGCATCTAAGTAAGGTAAACAAAACAACTTTTGCTAGCGACACGTTTGGAGTATTTTTGTTCGGTTCGCACAAAAAATTAAACTGACTTCTCCTAAACATTCTTTGTTCAGGCTACTTTTTTGCATTTGTTAGTAGAACTTTGTGAAAGTTGTATTTCTTAGTGTGTGTGAAGCGTTAGTTACTCTGGAGAATCACTGCGGTCGATGGATGCTGTAATTATTCATACGGGGATATGAGTTTTGGGTACGGAGAGATGCTCTGTGTGATCGGATGAAAACTAGTACTTTCTTTATAAATGAGATTTCCCTCTAAAAGCTGTGTGCTGTGGCTTCAGTGCACTGGGTGGCGCTGTTGAGCCGTGTGTTCCTGCAGACTTGCGTGTGTGTTGAATCTCTGCTTTGTGGGAGAGTGTGTGTGTGTGTTGAATCTCTCTGCTCTGTGTGTGTGTGTGTGTGAGTGTGTGTGTGTGTGTGTGTGTGTGTTGAATCTTGTGTGTGTGTGTGTGTGTGAGAGTATGTGAGAGTGAGTGTGTGTGTGTGTGTGTGTGTGTGTGTGTGGAAGAGTGAGTGAGTGAGTGTGTGTGTGTGTATGTTGAATGTCTGCTCTGTGAGTGTGTGTGTGAGAGTATGTGAGAGTGAGTGTGTGTGTGTGTGTGTGTGTGTTGAATCTCTCTGCTGAGTGTGTGTGTGTGTGTGTGTTGAATCTCTCTGTGTGTTCAGTCAGGTGCCGCTGTTGGTGCAGATCCAGCAGAATTGGAGGAAGGTGTATGCGGGTGAGTGTCAGGGGCCCGGGGTCCGCTCAGACTTCGAGATGGTGCACCTGCGTAAAGCTCCTGGTCAGTACACACACCTGTCGGGCCTGCTGGACGTCTTCAAGAACAAGATCGTGAGTCGCTGCTCGCTGTCCTTCTCAAAGAGAACATGCGGCTCGTGTGCAGTGTTGGGCAGGAACTCGTTGCAGTAATAATATTACAGTTACTATCCATAAAACAGCTTGTTACTTAATTACTTTCGATGCCTCAACCTAGTGCTGGGCGGTATACCGGTTCATACCAAATACCGGTGTTTATTTTTGTTATGATATGAATTTTTTAAATACCGCAATACCGGTGTATGTCGCTTAAACAACGTTGGGAACGCGACACTGTTTGAAAGGGGTCTCTTTTCACTGTTGCACTGTGGTGAGGGAACAGCTGTATGTGTTACTCAGCGTGAAAGTTCAGAAACTGAAGCTGTAGAACTAACAGAACGTGATGACACAGAAGAACTCATCCACAATATCCACACTGACCTCCACAAATATCCAGCGCCCGCTCCATCAGCTCCCGCGTCTAACAGCGTTTCCTAGCAGCTGTCGCTGACTGAGTGTTTGGGATTATAAATATGAGCGTAGTTCGTCTGTTAATATCACATGCACTTTTTAGTTTGTTGTTTGTTTTTAGTTTGTTACTCAGACGCAGGCAGTGCGCTGCACGAGACAGAAGAGTAATATAGCCGCTCTTTAGTGTAGATGCATGTTGAGTTTATCAGACGATGCCGTGATTATAAATGAGAGTGACTCCTGGTTAACATGTATTAAAGGGGTTGTGTTTAGTCAGTATTTAGTGTGGTATTCTTTGACTATATTCACTCATCATGACAGTAAAATAGGGCATTCTAAGTCAATATACTGCAGTATTTCCTCTCAATCAGTAGAAGATATGGTAAACACCCGCTCATGCATGAAAACAAAATACCGTCTTGTACCGTGAAACCAGTATAATTTTGAAAAATACCGTGATATAAATTTTTGGTCATACCGCCCAGCACTAACTCAACCCCTGATTTAAAGTCCAACAATACAATAATTCCTAGATTTATATTCATAATTTTCACAACTCGTGAACACATGAAGTCAGCAGAGCAGCAGGCGAGCTTGGAATATAAAAAGCTTGCACTCAGCGGATGGAAATACTGCCGTTACATTGATTTAGTCAGGAGAAAAGATCTGAACACTGATGTGTAAGCCGTGGCATTACTTTACTCTGGCGTTACACGGCTTGCCCTCATCCCTCTGATCCTAATAAACATTTATACAATCTTTTTAGAGAAATTGACACTTTCTTATGAACTCATATGATTTATTTTGATAAAATGCATCATGGAATATAATCGTATATGGGTATAACACAGAAATTATTGCTGCAATTAGCTACACATGACAGTTAATGAGATTAATACAACACTTTTACTTAAACGTCACTATTAATCACCACTTAACACTTAATCAGTGTTTGTAATAACTTCTGACTGCGATCCGGTGTGGATTTTGGTCAAATGATGAGGCAGAAATATATTGTTAGTAATATTTTAGAAGAATTTTATGGAGAAGATATGCAATTGTGGGGCGTGAAAGAAAAGTACTGTAACTAATTACTGTTGCCTGAAAGTAATAAGTAATAATATTAATTTTGAAAACTGTAACTAGTAATGAGTAATATATTACATTTTTGGAGTAACTAGCCCAACACTGCTCGTATTTGATTTATGGATGTTTCCTTATAATATAATTTATATATAAATATAATATATAATTAAGAAGTCTTAAAATTAAAAGTAAAATTAGAAACTCTTCATACAGTGGACTAGCGGATCAGAAATGATTCAGACACTTTGAGCCGAGCATGTTTTGCTGAAGTGTTTTTCTTTAATTGCTAACGTGATCTTTTACTCCACAGACTGAACTAAATGAAGCACTGCTTGCTAATTAGTTGAGCTAAATTGGTTTTATCTAATTGTGTATTAAATGTAACAGCTGACAGATATTAGATAGCTTTCTATCAGAGTTATCTGACATTATCAAGATGAAGTTCTTCTGAGCTCTTCTCATGTTTTATTACCGTTTTCTAAACTACAGCCAATAAAATGATATAATGTGAGAAATTAAAACTCAAAAGCATTTACAGCTTTATTTGATATTGATTAACTGCAATTTATCACAGAAAGCTGCATTTGGGAAGTAGTTGTTTGTTTTTTCTGGTGAAATGTATAATACTAAGTGCATAATGTGTGTGTCGTGTTGTGTTGACAGGGCTGTCCGCTGACGCCGCTGCCGCCCATCAGCATCTCCATCCGCTTCACCTTCGTCCTGCAGGACGGTCAGCAGTGCTCGTGGCCACAGCAGCCACCAGGTGCGTCTGACCTCTACCTGAGAGCATCAGCCCACGCACAGTGCCTCTGCAGCTCTTCAGCGTCTTACAAACAGCTTCATTCACAAAGTCATGCCATTAAATGTTTCGTGCACTGCAAAAAATAAATGTCTTCCTCGCTGCAAAAAGTGCTTTTCTTAATATTTCTATGTCTTGTTTTCTAGTATAAATATCTAAATATTCTTGAATCAAGATGCATTTACTTGACAAGTAAAATTACTTGAGATTAGTGCTGTCAAACGATGAATCGCATCCAAAACAAAGGTTTTCGTTTACATAATATATGTGTGTATGCTGTGTATATTTATTACGTATATATAAATACAAACACATGCATGTATATATTTAAGAAAAATTTTATGTTTATATATTAAGTATATCGATATATTATATAAATGTATATACATGTCAATATTTTCAAAATATGTACTGCATGTGTGTATTTATATAAACATAATAAATATACACAGTACACATACATATAGTATGTAAACAAAAACTTTTATTTTGGATGTGATTAATCGTGTGACAGCACTACTTAAGTCTTATTTTCTGAAAAAATTATCAAAATTTTGTTAGTTTTTGCTTAAAACGAGCAAAAATATCTGCCAATGGGGCAAGAAAAATAATCTTGTTTAGCCTTTGAATTAAGATTAATTTTCTTGCCCCATTGGCAGATATTTTTGCTTGTTTTAAGCAAAAACTAACAAAATTTTGATAATTTTTTTTTTAGAAAACGAGACATACTATCCTAAGTCATTTTACTTGTCAAGTTAATGCATCTTGATTCAAGAATGTTTTTATAATTATACAAAAAAAAAAAGAAATACTTTGTAAGAAAATAATTTTTTGCATTGCAGTATTTTAGTTTTCTTTCTAATCTAAACATCCTTAAATCAAGATACATTTACTGCAAAATGAACATAAGAAGTCTTGTTTTCTGAGAAACTATGGAATGAAAACGTACTCGGTTACTAACGTAACCTCGGTTCCCTGAGATACAGGAAAGAGTACTGTGTCTGCTAAGACGCTATGAGGAAAAACTCCTTTTTCTCAGATGACTGAAGCCTTTTTCAATAACGCAGTGTAACTGCACGGCCGTTGGTTCGTGGAACGCTATGGGAAACCAGTACAATCCCGTCATGCTATGCTAGAGGAGCGACTCATGCTTGAACTTGCCTTAAGCACCACAAGGGTAATTAAATAATTAGCAGGGAAGAGAGTGGAGTGGAGAGCACTTTAGGTATGTAACCGTGCCTTGGCTTCAGGGTGACCTTAGAGTCATTGGGCCCGAACTCAAGGCAGGTGGGGCTCACAGAGAGCGCCTGCAGATCACCCATACGCTTTACTGATGCTAACGCCAGTAGCAGAGCAGTTTTTAGCATCAGGGAATGAAGGTCAATGGGTTGTAGCGCCTCAAAGGGAGGGCTCTTTAGAGCCCTCTGCACTGTGAACAGATCCCATGTAGGGACTGTGATGGGGCGAGGCGGATTAAGCCTCCTAGACCCCTTCAAAAAGCAAACAACCAAATTGTTCCTGCCCACCCATTGGCCAGCTATAGGAGCGTGATAGGCTGCTATGGCTGCTACATAAACCTTGAGCGTGGAAGGGGAACGGCCCTTGTCCAACAGCTCTTGCAGGAAGGACAATATCAGAGATGTGTCGCAGGAAGCTGGGTCTTCGCAGCGGGTCATGCACCAGGCGGAGAAGACTGACCACTTAAAAGTGTAGAGGCATCTCATAGACGGAGATCTAGCTTGAGAGATTGTGTTTAGTACGTTCTCGGGGAGGTTCGCAGGCTCCCATCGAGAGGCCGAAGGTGCAGAGCCCACAACTCGGGCTGGGGGTGCCATATCGTTCTGTTCACCTGAGAGAGGAGGTCCCGCCTCAGGGGAATGGGCCATGGAGCTGCTACCAGCAGCTAGGACAGCTCTGCGAACCTGTGATGGCTCCTCCAGAACGGGGCTACTAACAGAACCTTGTGCTCTTGTTCCCTGATTCGCCTGATTATCTGTGGGATCAGGGCGATCGGGGAAAAGCATAAAGGAGGAGGTTGGGTCCGTGTCCTTCAAGAAATAAGTTGAGCAATGAGAGTTGTCTTTTGAGGTGAAGAGGTCGACCTCTGCCTCGCCAAAGATCTCCCAGATTTTCTGAACCGTTTGCAGGTGGAGCATCCACTCGTCTGAGGGGAAATTGCTCCGAGATAGCATATCTGCTCCTAGGTTCAACTTGCCCGGCACATGCGCCGCTCTCAGTGAATGCAAGTTGATCTGAGCCCATTCCAAGAGGCGCTCTACTAGAATAAAGTGGTGCTTCGAGGAGAGTCCTCCCTGGGGATTTATGTATGACACTACCATCATGCTGTCCAATCTGACCAGGACGTGGTGTCCCCTCAGGTCTGGCAGGAAAGTGCAAAGGCCCAAACATACCGCCAGCATTTCCAGGCAGTTGATGTGCAGCCGACTTTGCTCTTTCGACCAGTGGCCGAAAGCCGGTTTGCCATCGCACAGCGCTCCTCAACCTAAGTTAGAAGCGTCTGTCAAGACCACCTTCCTTCTGCTTGGAGGCACAACAAAGGCTGCTTGGGGGGTGGTCCAGCTGCAGCGAGACTTGGCCCCCTCCTCTTCCTGTCCCGCAGATCAGGAGAACTGGAATTCTAACACCACCAGGCTGGCCTGGGCCGTGGTTTTGGTGGCGCGTAAAGCCAGGTCGGTCGCGCTGCGCAGCTCTTTAAAAGCTGCAAGGTCCGGGCCGGACTCATCCATGCTCTGGATGAGTTTGGCCTGATAGACCTGTAAGACCACCATAGAGTGAAGCGCCGAGGCCGCCTGTCCAGCAGATGAATAGGCGGGCGACCTTTGCCTTCCAGCCGATAGCCGTGGGCGGGCAGAGATGGGCACAGACTCGTCCAGGGAAGGCATCTTGTCGTACCCCTTCTCTTTGGTGCCGTCGACTGTCGTGAGGACGAAGGAAGAGGAGGCACGCAGGCGGGCCGAATAGGGGGCACGCCACGATCTGGTGAGTTTGTCATGAACTGTTTGTCATGAGCCCTGCAGGAGTGACAGAGACGGCGCGCCATTTGCAACAACGCCACTAAATTTGCTCTTTTAAAAGCTCTTTTAGTAATTCGCCGGATGGCGGCAGGGGATCCAGAAGACCAGCACTGCTGCGGGTGCTGAAGGCGGCAGAGAGGGGTCTTGATCCGCTGCGAGGCGTTTCCACGGCGAAGCTTCAAGTCTCGTAGTATCAGCGAAGATCGTCATCGTCGCTGAAGGAGAAGAAATCTGAGGATGGTTCGTTTTTAATTCACTGCACGAACCAACGGCCGTGCAGTTACACTGCGTTATTGAAAAAGGCTTCAGTCATCGGAGAAAAATTTGTTTTTCCTCATAGCGTCTTAGCAGACACAGGACGAGTGAAATATTGATAGGGAACTTGTTTTCCTTTCAAATGAAGTTGATTTTGGCAGATATTTGTTTCTATTTTAATCACAAACTCACTTGATTTTGATCAATTTCTCATAAAACAAGATGCCTTATCTTCTGTCATTTTGTTTAAATGTGTCTTAATTTAAGAATCTTGAGTTGTTTGTGCTGGAGAATGAGAAAAATACAGAGGAAAAACAGCACTTTTTGCAGGGACAGTAAAATATCTTCATATTCTAGTAAATGGGGAGCAGAGGTATGCAAACCTTAAGCTTTTTCTTTTTTTTCCCTTTTTTTTTGGTAAAATGAATTAAAAAGTAATTTTGGAAGTTGTTAAAAAGATCTTTTGGAAGTTGTATTTGTAAAACGTTTCTAACTCATTGTGTTCTCCTTAGAGAACATGCAAGACACATTAGAGATCATTAATGTATTGTGTTCCCTTCAGTTTATTTTCTTTGGCTGGTCTTAAAAAGTTCTCAAAGTCTTAGTCTGCAGAAACCCTGTCTGTGGTCCAAACGAATGATCTGTGTCCCTGCAGCACAAAAGCAGTGTTGAGTCGCTGGGGGATATTTGTAGCAATAGCCAACAATACATTGTATGGGTCACAATTATACATTTCTCTTTTATGCCAAAAATCATTAGGATATTAAGTAAAGATCATGTTCCATGAAGATATTTTGTAAATGTCCTACCGTAAATATATCAAAACTTAATGTTTGATTAGTAATATGCATTGCTAAGAACTTCATTTGAACAACTTTAAAGATGATTTTCTCAATATTTAGATTTTTTTGCACCCTCAGATTCCAGATTTTCAAATAGTGTCCGATCCTAACAAACCATACATCAATGGAGAGATTATTTATTCAGCTCTCAGATAATGCATACATCTCAATTTCGAAAAACTGTCCCTTATGACTGGTTTTGTGCTCCAGGGTCACACATCTGTTTCTGCGTCACTGTGACGGCTGTTTCTCTTTCTGTCCAGCCGTTCATCGCATTATTACTGTGGTTCTGTGGTGATCTGGCCTGTTTCCCGGCGAGTGTGCAAGTTTTATTTGATACACTAGCGAATCTTTCTCAGTTTCCATGTATCCGTGTGTACTGTCTCTGTCAGTATCTCGCTCCTCAGCACATTCGCCGCTCTGAGTGTTTACCTCTGTATTAAGAAGCTGTTGACACAGGCAGATCATAATATTCCACGTATATCCTGAGTTGATTAACTTCTATATTACTTTGATCATGAGTTAATATCACAGGAAGGCTGTGTGTGTTGTTTCAGACTTCGATGCGCTCCTCGCTGGAGAGGTGGGAGGCGTGGAGTTCGGAAAACTTCCCTTCGGAGCGTGTGAAGATCCCATCAGGTGAAGGTCACGCCGGCAGTTAATCCTCAGAAATCACATTTACCTGAAATAAAATAAACTTGAACTACATCTACTAAAATAACTCAAATAAAAATTAATAAAACCTGTATTGACATATACTAAAACTACTAAACATGACAAAAAATGCACAACAAAATTAATAAACTTTAATCAAAAATAAAGTTAAACAAAATTTAAAAATAAAATCTATTTCAGAATATTAATAAAAACTATAGTAGGATCTTGATGATGCTAAATTAAGACCGCTTCACACTTTAAAGGGACAGTTCAGCCCAAAAGTAAAATTCTGACATTATCTCATCCTC